ATATATATATATATATATATATATATATATATATATATATATATATATATATATAAATTAAATTAATAATAATTACTTTTTCAAATGTTCAGGAAAAACTTTTGAACCGCACACACATACACAAATATAGTTATTGTTATAGTTATCTTTAGTTATCATTCTTGGTGTGAACAGACCTTAATAGACTTCTTTCCAAAACATAAACAATTCTTACAGACCTTAAACATTTGAGTGGTATTTTTGAGAAGAAATGATATCTCCATTTTTATGTGATTTTGTCAATTTTGCGGAGTGTGTTTTTGTGCTGGTACCTTGGCTGTTTTCAGCCTGTCATGGATAAAAAAATATGACCGTAAAAACGCCAGTAGGTGGCGGCAAGTGCCTGTCTTAATGAGTGATTTCTTGAATCACTCATTTAAACGATTCATTTGAAATGGCTGATTCATTTAGAAACAAAGCAAATGACTTTATGAATGGATCATTGAATCAAATGATTAATTCAAAAACATATTAATTCACGAATAAAACACCGCAGTATTGCTATGGGATGCGCAAATGTTCTGTTTAGGCTTTGTTTGCTAAACTAAAATGTAATTTACTCAATATTAACTTCTTTTTTGTTCAACTGTTGTATAAAATCAATATCACATTCGTGGTCATTTTTCCATGTCTGCTGTCTGTGATGTCACAGCTCAGGATAGTCACTTGTGAAGGGTCAATCAGTCAGTCGTTGTGTTCCTGTGACTTTAGATTGATTAGTCGTATTTTTGGCTGAGGTGATTGGCTCAAATAGTTCTTATAGGGAGTCACACACATGCCAAGAACTGCCACTGAGACGAATGGAAACGCTAGCAGATAGTTTTCTCCAGGTATATTAGAGCTCATAGGTGAGAACCGTGAGTATATAGAGAGAGAGAGCAAGGCACTCCCAGCATGCCTCTGGGGAGGAGGCGAGCAGAATACACTGGTGCAACACCGGGATGAGAAGCAGATCCTCCCTATGAGAGAGAGACAGAATGAGATAAAGACATTGTAAGTTTGTATGGGAGAGACTCCTCTGATGTCACTGCTGTAATCACTGCCCGTGTGTGTGTGCATGCATGAGTGTGTGTGCATGCGCTGAAGTTGACCTTCAGTTGAAGCGCATGCTGCATGAGGTGAAACCGCCCTGACTCGATCTGGAGCGAAAAAACACCAGGGATATGCAGAATTTGGATCTTTACAGCCGACTGGACTCTCAGGTATGAGCGGCATGCTGGTTTTACTGGAGTTCAGGTTTTAGTGGCATCTGCTGCGTGCAAACACTGCCAAGTTCTAGGATTTAGAAAATGCATGCATTTTTATGATGCCCTTGATTGTGTTATTGCAGTACAAATATTGCCAGATAATATGCATGATTTAGAGAATTAAATTTAGCTGTTGTTTGAACAGTGTGCAATAGTGCAAACTGCAGTAGTGCACTACAGAATTGTGGGTGATGTAGTCGGTGTATTGCAGAGGATGCAGCGTGTTTTCTGCAGGCTGAATGTCATTGATCAGATGCTGGGTTAGTGCTTTGGAGGAGGGGTGCAGGAAGCCTCTGCTGCTACAGTAAGAAGCAGGTTACATGCTGCAGATGTCGGCCAAGACCTCCCATAAATCCAGCACAGATCTCTGACACTGCTTCATCCCTCGCTTTCTTTCTAGGACTGTATACTATGAGGAAAAAAAGGTACAAAACTGTCACTGGGATGTTACCCTTTCAAGGTATAAATATGTACGGTATAAATATGTACACTTTATGTACTAAGTACTTTCAAAGAACTAATGTGTACCATTTAGTAGGGATGCATCACTGGGATGTTACCCTTTCAAGGTATAAATATGTACGGTATAAATATGTACACTTTATGTACTAATAAGTACTTTCAAAGAACTAATGTGTACCATTTAGTAGGGATGCACCGATACCCGATACGGATACTTGTATTTTTGGTACTTGCTGATACCGAGTACCGATACCAATATTTTATTGCATACATACATTTTTTAAATAATGGGTACAGAAACCAAAAGAGTATGTATAATGTTAGTTGGTTAACTTCATTTATCAAACAGATACAGTCAAACCAAAATGTATTCAGACACATTCAACATTTCTCACATTATCACAGTTTATTCACTATAGTTTAGAAAATGGTAATAAAATGACAAGAATTTAGAGTTAAACGGAGTCAGAACAAATTCAGCTTGGTAATGTTAGATAACTTTGATAGAAAGGTATGTAATGGATTACAATAAACCAAAAATTAGACAGCTGTTAGTATGACAGTATTTACACAACTATCAATACTTAGTTGGGCAACCCTTAGCCTTAATGACAGCCTGTAGTCTCCTGGACATAATTTGTCAGTTTACTTTATTTTGCTATCCTCACTTACATAAATGAACTATAGTGTCCTGCACCCACTAGTAAAAACATATCAAAAAGGATATCTGGTCTCTGAATAATTTTTGGTTTGACTGTCTATCCTTTGGTTATTTTCACACTTAATTATACCTATTAAAATGTATTTTACAAGTTTTTGTTCAGTTTTATGGTACATAATCTTTAATTTAATAGCATTAGAGCTGCTCCATTGCAGCGGCTTAGTACTGTAATCACGCGCTTTGCTGTAATAATGCAGGAAACCACTCGTTAAATCTCCTAACTGTGATATTTTCAGAAATAAGTTGCATTTTTTTTCATCTGAAACGTGCTGCGACTTATATTCCAAAGCCACTCATATAATGCAGAAACACTCAAGCAAACAAAACACACGCAACGCGTGCATGTATTTGTACTGATGCAGAATAGTACAGCCGAGCGCATTTCACACAGGCTGCTAGATTCACTTTCGCCAGAAAGTTGTGTATGCTTAAGGTTAAAAATAAATGACGTTTATAGTCGATGCCCCTATAAATGGTCTTATTTTTACGATTTAGTTTTAATCCAAATGACGCGTGTGCTAAGTGAGTGAACGTCAAAGATCACACAACAGAAGTGCTCTCTCTCTCTCTCCCTACCGTTAAGTAACTTGTGCATTGCTTTACTTACTTGTTTTTGACGTATCCGACCGAACTACAAACTTTCCAGTGATGTCTGTGAGAAAGGTATATTCACTCGACAAGCTCGCGCATCTGCGCCGCCGCGCGCTCAATCCACTCAGCGTGCTTTGCTCATCAGCTCGCGCACATCAGCTATATAGTCAATACTGAATGTTTAACATTATATTCATTGCATACATATACTTCGTAGACATCCTTGATCTCTAATAACTCCATTCTGCTGTCTGTTGTTCTGTTGTCGGTGTTTCATTGTCTGAATATGGCACTTAACACATGCTGTGTGGTATCTGCGTTTGGTATCGGGGCATTTTAATGAGTACGAGTACAGGAGCTCAGTATCGGCCCGATACCGGTATCGGTGCATCCCTACCATTTAGGGCTAAAGGGGAGAAGTCGTGGCCTAATGGTTAGCTGTAATAATGCATAACCCAAAGGTTGTGGGTTCGAGTCTCGTACCGGCAGGGATTGTAGGGGGGGGGAGGGAATGTACAGCGCTCTCTCCCACCTTCAATACCACGACTGAGGTGCCCTTGAGCAAGGCACCGAACCCCCAACTGCTCCATAAATGGCTGCCCACTGCTCCGGGTGTGTGTTCACGGTTTGTGTGTGTTCACTGCTGTGTGTGTGCACTTTGGATGGGTAAATGCAGAGCACTAATTCTGAGTATGGGTCACCATACTTGGCCACATGTCACGTCACAACGTCACTAATCACGCGCTTTGCTGTAATAATGCAGGAAACCACTCGTTAAATCTCCTAACTGTGATATTTTCAGAAATAAGTTGCATTTTTTTTCATCTGAAACGTGCTGCGACTTATATTCCAAAGCCACTCATATAATGCAGAAACACTCAAGCAAACAAAACACACGCAACGCGTGCATGTATTTGTACTGATGCAGAATAGTACAGCCGAGCGCATTTCACACAGGCTGCTAGATTCACTTTCGCCAGAAAGTTGTGTATGCTTAAGGTTAAAAATAAATGACGTTTATAGTCGATGCCCCTATAAATGGTCTTATTTTTACGATTTAGTTTTAATCCAAATGACGCCATAAATGGCTGCCCACTGCTCCGGGTGTGTGTTCACTGCTGTGTGTGTGCACTTTGGATGGGTAAATGCAGAGCACTAATTCTGAGTATGGGTCACCATACTTGGCCACATGTCACGTCACAACGTCACGTCACGTCACACAAATAAGGTACAAAGCTTTTGTACCTTAGGGTACCATCTCATTGACAGCTTTGTAAAAAAAAATGTCTGAGAGTGTAGTTACTACATACACAGCATTTTAAGGCATTATTCCAAATATTATAATATTCCAAAATGTTCTAAGAAGCCTTTTTTTGGTTACATTTTTTTGCTTTGTGTAGAAGACAATAATTCCATAATGCAACAATTTTTTTAGATGACATACTAAGTGAAAGAAAAAATTACTAAAACTAACTAAAAATGTCATTAAATGCTGAAAATTATAGGTTAAAAATGCTTCAGTTGAATGAAAAATTAACACCAGTGTTATTTTAGTATCGCTGATATATGTTTTTGTCATTTTTATTAGTATTTGTCTTTATAATATTTATATATTTCTATTGATTAATTTTACTAGTTTTATTAGTGCACTTCAAGTTAAACTGAACGAAAATGAAAAATGTTGCATTGCAATGAGCTGAAATAAAAATAAGTTTAAATTTGTAATATTTTGTTTTATTATTCAAGTAATGTTATTTTAGTTCAAGTAATGAAAATATTTATCATGGTTTTAGTTTTAGTTAACGATAATAATGGCAACACATTACAACTATTTTATAGGCATTAATAATTTCCTCCACGCTCTAGGGCTGATAAAGTTTCCTTCAAATGTTTGCGCCATTAGCTAATCGGTGACTGATTCGTATTAATTTGTACAATCTTATTTGAATGTTTTAATTTGCTTGTCTTATGTTTAAGGGTGGGGTTAGGGATGGGACTTCATGTCTTTTTTTAACAATTTTACATTTTCATATGATTCACATTGTTTGTTTATGTTTACTGTATATAGTTATACATCAAATTCAGTCTTGCATAGCTAAAAACTTGTTGCAATGGATTATGGTTTTGTTATTAGAATATAGAATGCTATTTAAAGGCTACAAAAAAAAACATTTCTTAGAACATTCGACAAGTACAAATAACATTATTAGGACATTGTGAGAATGTTGTATGTTTTCACTCAACATTATGAGAATGTTTATCATATTAATAAAGTTATTATAATGTTCCATAAACATTATTTTAAGAACGTTATGTCCTAACATTTATATAACTTTTAATACATGTTAGTGAAAGTTAGCTGGGCATGCACATTGACTGCATATTTTATTATACAGTATAAGCCTTTTTAAAGCTTTTTGATATCAAGAAACAATATATGGGACAGTTCGGCAAGCAGTTTTTGAGATTGTAGGATTTAACAACTATTTTATAGGCATTAATAATTTCCTCCACGCTCTAGGGCTGATAAAGTTTCCTTCAAATGTTTGCGCCATTAGCTAATCGGTGACTGATTCGTATTAATTTGTACAATCTTATTTGAATGTTTTAATTTGCTTGTCTTATGTTTAAGGGTGGGGTTAGGGATGGGACTTCATGTCTTTTTTTAACAATTTTACATTTTCATATGATTCACATTGTTTGTTTATGTTTACTGTATATAGTTATACATCAAATTCAGTCTTGCATAGCTAAAAACTTGTTGCAATGGATTATGGTTTTGTTATTAGAATATAGAATGCTATTTAAAGGCTACAAAAAAACATTTCTTAGAACATTCGACAAGTACAAATAACATTATTAGGACATTGTGAGAATGTTGTAAGTTTTCACTCAACATTATGAGAATGTTTATCATATTAATAAAGTTATTATAATGTTCCATAAACATTATTTTAAGAACGTTATGTCCTAACATTTATATAACTTTTAATACATGTTAGTGAAAGTTAGCTGGGCATGCACATTGACTGCATATTATATTATACAGTATAAGCCTTTTTAAAGCTTTTTGATATCAAGAAAAATATATGGGACAGTTCGGCAAGCAGTTTTTGAGATTGTAGGATTTAACAATTGAAGTATATAGGACTTGGTCTTGGGTGCCCAAAATGTTCCTGGA